GTTGCGGGGGCTCGGAGGCGCCGGGTCCCGCGGGGGCCAGGGCTGCGCTCAGTGCAAGGGGTAGAACTTGCAGATGTAGTGATGCTTTCGGGAGCACTCGGAACTGGCCCACACCGAGAAACCTGCGGGAGACACAAGCAGGGGGCTGGCGGGGGCGGGCACCAGCCGTGCCCACCGAGGGGATGGCACGGGGGTGGCTGCAGGGACACTCACCGCTGTGATGGGTCAGCACGGCGCAGCTCCCCCCTTGGGCACCGTTCCCGGGCACCTGGCTGGCGGCACTGTACTCCTTGCCACTCGCCCACTGCCACCCCTGGCTCTGTGCGGGGAGAGGGGGGGGTCAGGGGCACGGCCCCGCTGCCCCCCAGCCCCTCGCCAGCCCTGCCGCCCTCTCCTCACCTTTTCACTCTTCTGCAGTCCGATCCAGACGGGCTGCACTCGCTGGTAGTAGGAGATGGCTCTCTGCAGGGTGGCTGCCTCGTGGGAATCCTCCACCCAGGCCAGGTGAGCGCCTCCCTTCACGTCCTGGCACCGGCTCTGCGGGGAGAGCCGTCTGTGCCCGGGGGTCCCCGGGACACCGGGGGTCCCTGTCACCCTCTGTCCCCCTCTGTGGCCTTACCTCAGCCTCGTCCCAGGTCCGGGGCTCGGGGAAGTACTTGAAGCAGCTGAGTTTGTAGTAGGACCAGCCTTCGGGGCAGTAGCTTATGTACCTGCCGTCTGTGCGGGGAGAGCCGCGGGCAGGGGTGAGGGACAGGCGGCATGGCTGCCTGGAGAAGAGCGTGGCTCTCTCCTGGCCCAGCTCCGGCCGCAGCTGCCCCCGAGCCGTGGCACTCACCGAGCGGCCGCAGGAGCCCCGCGCAGCCCAGCAGCAGCAGGGCGAGTCTGGCCGCAGCCGCCATCCTCCTTGCTCCCTGGAAAGGCTCGGGAGGGTCACTCCAGGTCCCTTCGGGGACAGAGGATGCTACCAGTGCCCAGAGAGTGCAAAGCTGCCCCGCTGTGGGCTGAGCCTGGCCCCTCGGAGCCCCTGCAGGAGACGGCAGGCTGTGCCCCGCTCTCCGCTCCCCGGTGCCCGCATCCCCCGCCCCGGGCGAGCCTTGGAGAGCCCAGCCCGCACCGGCAGCACATTGTCCCGCTCGGACATCAGCCCCAGGCTCGGCAGGAGGCCGAAGGGACAGCCAGGCTGCTCCGTGGGGACGAGGGGAGGGTGCTGTGGCGGACTGGGCTCGGGGGACCCCGGCCCGGCAGTGGCACAGCCGGGCCCGCAGGGACTCCGAGCACGGCCGGAGCTGTGTGTGAAACTCCGCTTTCACACCGGGCTGGGCAGGCAAATCGGCCACATCAGCGCAGCTCCCCTTTATCCCGGC